AAAATCCTGAATAAACACAAGATCCAGGTCCGATTCAACACAGTACACAAAATCCGTGATTTAGTTCCATCTGTAAAAGATGCTCTTCCAGACATACAGTACCCGGGCGTTTACAAACTAAAGTGCCTCTGTGGTAGTAGCTACATTGGAGAAACCAAAAGACATATCTCGGACCGCATCCGCGAACATAAAGCAGACTTGAAACACGGTAAGACGAACTCCTCTGCCGTGGCAGATCACTGTTACAATTCAGTGGGCTCACATGACATTGACTTCTCCAAGACGGAGGTTCTTTGCAAACCAACTGGCTACCATGAGAGATTCGTTCATGAGGCCATTCACATATACAAGCACAGAGACAATTTCAACCGAGAAGATGGATTCAGGCTTAGTAACCACTGGAAAGATGTGTTAAATCATTTCTGTTCTTAATTAATTGTAATTTTACGATGACCTTCAGACCGCAGCTCTTTCGCCAGCATTGCCTCTTAATACCTCTCACACCACGGTTAATGGTATGGTTTACAACATGGAGTATACTAGGGCTTCGCAGCTGTCTCTCTCCCCCTCCTCTGTTCCGACCATGGACGAACTCGTCCGTCTGAACGGGGCCCGTAGCTATCCGTGGTACGGAAATTTGAGGGTAAGAATCCACCCATTTTTTCGCCATATAGCATTGTGATATATAACGACTTATGGTTGGTAGCTTAGCTGATTGGAGAATATAGAGTTTATTGATAACATGAAGATAATTTATATTTTAGTTTTTATTGGTTCACTATATAGTACTGTGAATAGCTCAGATGTGTAGTCATTTCTGTGACCAGTCACTAGCAAATCACCCAGTTATTTCAATGCTAAATTCGCCTAGTTATTTCAATGCTAAATTCTCCTGTTTGATTTGTACTAAGTGCCTCGGTGAATGTGTATGCTCTGACTTCAACGTAACTATTTCTGTAGCAGTTACAAGCGAATCACTCAGCCATTTCAATGCTAAATTCTATGCTAATCCCATTGTCAAGGGGTGCCTCTGCGGATGTGTATGCCTTAACTTAGCTATTTCAATGCTAAATTCTATGCTAATTCCTTTTAACAATGGGTGCCTCTGCGGATGTGTATGCTTTAACTTTTAACATAGCTATTTCTGTGACCAGTCACAAGCTAATCATTCAGCCATTTCAATGCTAAATTTTATGCTAATTCCTTCGTCAAGGCTCTTTGTTCCTCTCACACAGCTTAAAAGCCGTGATCTGAACGTGGCTCTCTCACTCCAGCACTGTCCTACCAGACAGTCTCGCCCCCTTCACCTGATGAAGGCCGCTTGTGTTGTGGCCGAAACGTCATGAGAATATTATTGTGTTATTTTATCAATTTATTATTTTATTCTCATTCTACGTGACTTTACCGAAAGAACCAAAGAAGATGAATCATTGCAGTCACGAAAGCTTTAAATCGAAAAATCTACAGAACTTGGTCGATGTCACAGGAAGTTATTTGAAACGCCACTCCCCTCTTCTGTATCAAACATGCAATCACTGCAATTGTGTAGAGCTGGTCAAGGTTATTTTCGTTTATACCTATCTTCTCCATATATATAAAAGGCAAAGTTGTGATTGTGTGTGTCTGTTCAAAATGTTTAGCGTACTTCCCGACATGCAACAAACTGGAAATTTGCCATGTGGGTACTTTCCAGACTGTACACCGTGCAAACATTATAAAAATACACTTTTTTTTCTGGGGGGTGGGGGGGAGCTCAATAATGCACTTATTTTTTGTACGGCAAGTGAGCTGTGACGTCAAATCTGTCACGTGACCCGTAGTGTAGCGGTTAGCGTTACGCTGCGCTATGAACCCGGCGACCCAAGTTCGATTCCTGCTCACCGCCACCGCCGGTGACGATTATTTTAACCGGTCCTGGGCCTCCCCTAGGTCGACTCAGCCTCAAACGACTAACTGCTGTGGTGTGTGAACATCGCTACTGGGGAGACAAAGACGGCCGGGCGTGGTGGATCCAAGTCCCGGGCGAAGCCGGGTAGTAACAGCTAGCGCAACATATAACTAAATAATCTTTGTGTTTTTTTTAGCCCATGCTAAGCTTGCGTAGTTTACTCTGGGCAGATTGGTTTTAAACTCGTGCCCGTGTACTTTGTTTTTCTAGTTTACCCTTCAGAACAATGTGGCAGTATAAGTGAATGTTGTGAAGAACAGGATTCACAAGGAGGCATGTGGCTGCTGGAGTGTTCAATAATCCATTGGATTCATTTTTATGTTACCATTAAAGCTGTTGCCCTGGTACTGGACATGCGATAGACATTGCCATTAAGTTGGTGGCGTTTTAGATTTTGATCAGCTTTGAAGATTTTCCCAACGTCAAGTGCATGTGGCCCATAGGCGGGTACTCGGTTGTTCGGGGTGTATCAAGGCTGGGCATTATAACACTTCAGTGTAAAACCTTGCATTGCGAGCATAATTCGTTCCGGGAACGTGTTTGTAATCCAAAGCGCTCGTACATCAAAGCACTCGTCTATCAGTTGTGTGATCACGTGACTCACGGCAGTACAAAGTGTGTCTACACGTACACTGCTCGTATTGCAAGACCTCGCTCGTTTATCAAGTTAATATTTATTTACAATTTTAGCTCGTCTTGCAAAACACTTGCAGACCAAGTTACTCGCAATCCAAGGTTTTACTTTTATATTTAGATTTACCAGGGTGTGTGTCTGTTGGATCAGAAGTAGGTGCCAACTTTCACTGGCATATTTGAGGTGGACATTGCACGTTGCGTTTTTATATTTTGTAGGGTTGAGAAACCTTGACTGCATTATGTGGTGTCTGGATACTAAGCGGAGAAGCTTAGAGGATGTCAGAAAAGCCGATATTTACGATTGAAAATATCACTTATTATAAAGTAACCCTTTTAATTTGGTACGATTGAGCCTGAACAGGAAAATGTATCTTTGTCCCGAGTACATTGTGCGTACGCACAGATATTAGTTTCCGAAGAGGTAAGTCTCGCCACTTTATCAAGGGAGCTTCAGGGACACGGTGCGGTTTGATTTTATCGCCAAATTTCCGTAAACGCTTCGAAGAGTATTTTCCTCACTCCAAACATCAACGCTACAAGGAGCATCTGCGAGCATTGCCGCACACAGAAGCACACGGAGGCAATTTGCAAGCAACACACGAGCAATCAAGCGCCCGGCAGCCAACAGCCACCGACGTGAACGGCGACGACACGAACGGCGACATTGGCGACATCCTCGTCGGCACTTGGGAGGCACCGGGGACCAAGCAACCAACACGCCGCCGCCGCTGTGACACGCACGGCCGACCCGCGCCCCCCACGCCTGCAGCGCCACGTCACAGAACACTCGGCGCAGCACGCCGCATCCGCTGCACCGCAACCGCCAAGTGCCGCTTGGCAGAGGCCATCGGATAACCCGCGTCCAGCCGCAGGCACCGGGGGGACACGGCGCTGACAGACCGGCAAAGTACCGGCATCGCCGCGAAGAAGCCGGGAACGACAAAAGCCCGCATTCACCGCGAACGGGACTTGGAAATAAACCGAACGGAACGCGTGCCGATGCGTTTGGGGCTTAAAATCGCTCCGTTGGTGAGAATTTACCTCGACGCTCGTACGTTTAGACTGCCTTGCTAAAGTTTTGTTTGCAAACGAGGCTTTTTACATTGCAGATGCCAGACACAACGCATTTCGCATCGGTTTATAAGCGGCGATCTTTTTCATTTTAAAGGTTTGTAAGGCCCCGTCGCCCACTTCAATTGTCCCAATTTTAAGCCCCAAACCAAAAAGGGTCGCCGGAGAGCGAGAGGTGCGGTGGCACGGACAACGCGGGGGGGTCCATTTGTGCCGAGCGTGACTGCTGTTGGCGCAGGAAAGAAGGCGCCGGCCTTTCTGTTGCATCCTCCTCGCGATGGGTCGTCAGCCGCCGCCCGACTCTGGGCAACTTTGTGTTCCCGTCGAAGCGTAGACTGGGTAAGAAACGAGCGGGCATCGCAGGCGGCAACCACGGATACTCGCTGACGCCGCACCTCGGAACAATTTGTCGCGTGCATCTGTACACCTCCAATAAAAAAAATTTCTTCTTCTTGCGATGAGCGTTTCTTTACGCGCTGTATTTTGTATGGTGCTCGTTATTTATGTTGCGCCGTGTGAAATCTGCATTTTAAAAATACCGCCGATTGTTTTTATCGACAGACGCAGCGCGCCGCCTTGTGGAATGTGCCCGGAATTTCTTAATGTGTTGGTAGTGTGAATGTTCTGGGTGCAGAATGATTTTTTTGGATTGTCATATTTTGTGCAGCAGTGAGCGCTTATGTTTCCCGTGGGTGAATTTGGTGATCGTTTTTTTGTTTGTTTTCAGAGGACAATGCAGTGATGCCAGCGAAGCAAACGTCTCTCCTTGGCGACCATCCCAAAGCACACGCTTGCGGTGGTGGCGACTGTGGAGGTAATCCCCTTGTTGCGAATGCTATAATTTCGGTTTCCTTCAGCTTGCTGTCAGATTGAAAGAACCTGCTGCCTGTTGAGAACATTTCTTATTTGGAATTAGTGTTAAGGTGCATCCTAAAAACCTTTTTTTGCGGTTAACAATTGCAACGTACGAGTTGCTTTGTGTTTTAAAGAGACGATATTTCCAACAGTTATCAGATGTATTGGGTATTTAAAACAAGATATGCTGAATAAGAGCTCTAGCTTGGTGGGCCTCAACCTAAAATAAAAACTAGTTTAGTCTATTCCCTAGGCAACTGAGTCTTCTGGACCAATGTTTTCCAGTGTCTCCAAGGGGTAGAGTGGTGAATCCTGGGTTACCTGATCTTATAGGAAAGGGCACACGTGTGTGTAAGATGATGGCTGTGGTAAATCTGTTTTTCAGAGAAGTTTAGAGAGTTTCAGCTAGTTCACGATGCGTTTCCCCCTCTTGTGTGTTTGCGTCACAGGCCACCAGCAGCCACCGCCACCGGGCCTCGACTACGGACCTGGCGGCGACGGCATGGGCATGGGCGGTGGGGGAGGAATGGGCATGGGAGGAATGGGCATGGGCAACCTGGGTGGGCCCCAGGGCCAGCACGTGCAGGCCATGATGAACCAGCAGGCCGGCAACAAGGTCCTCATGGTGTACGGCTTGGATGCCGAACGCTTCAACTGCGACCGCGTGTTTAACATCCTCTGCCTCTTCGGCGACGTGGAGAAGGTGCCTTCGCTGGGTGTTGCGCGCGCCTGCTTTGAAATGAGTCCCCGTTTTTTTCCTTCCAAAGGTTCAACCGCGGTGCAACGCGTACGCACGCGTGTGGTGCACGTCGTGCGCTCATCGTGTTATATAAAGTGGGAGATTCACACGACCAAATTTGTTCACCGGTTGACAACATACACATTTGCTCTTTTTTCTTTACAAAAATGTACCCAATGCGAAGTGTTCTTTGTGCATGTTTTCTAATGGCCCCTCAGCCAACACTTCACATTTCAACGATGCGTTACAACGAAACTTGTAGATATTTTCGTACAAGATTGCGCGATGCTGAACCGTGTTACGGGTTGTTATTCTTGTAGGTTAAGTTCCTGAAGAGCAAGCCGGGAGCCGCCATGGTCGAGATGGGAGATCAGTACGCCGTGCACAGGGCGGTTTTTCACCTCAATATGTCTCAGATCTTTGGAAATAAAATCAACCTCTGGTGAGCCGTTTTGTTCCCGTGTTAAAATGGTAAATGTAACTCGTCATATCCTGTTAATGTAATTGGATACTGCTTTCCCTTTAGAGAAGACAACTTTAGTAAATATTTAGTGCAAGTGGCTAAATTTTAGGACGGTGAAAAAGAGAGCTGATAAATACCGTGAACGAAACACTTGTCACAGCTCACGAGGACCCCGATGACTTGCTGTCCAGAGCCTTTTTTGAAGTGGCGAAACGTGAAATTTGGATTCTAGATTTGAAGCTTTACGGAGAGGGCCTTTATTGAAATAGCGAACGTGAAATTTGGATTCTAGATTTGAAGCTCTACGGGGAGGGTTTTCACCTATCTGTTAGAGCAGGGGTCGGGAACCTTTTTGACTAAGAGAGCCATGAAAGCAAAAAATTTGGAAATTTATTTCAGTGAGAGCCATATAATATATTTTAAAAGTGAATTCAACTAAATGTCAGTATAATAAGCCTCTGAATTTATTCTTTTAAATAATGTTGTTATAACACTCACCATTAATGCGACTTCTGGTGCTGCATGGATTTGCTGATGTCTTTGTAGTCGGGTTGGTACTTGGTGAGGTTAAGCTTCATGCAAGCGTTGAGGCTTTCATCCGTTAAACGTGATCGTAGGTTGGACTTGATGTTTTTAAGATGTGAGAATGACTGCTCACATGCATACGTAGATCCAAACATGGTCAATACAGCAATACTCACACGCTGCAGTGTGTGGTATGTGACAGGAAGCGCGTTCCAAGTTTTGAGAATCAGCTGGTCTTCGGGTTGGAGTTTTTTCATTTCTGTCCACATGTGCTTGCTCGCCAACTCCGCTTTCTGTCGTGTGATTCTTTCCAAATCTTCATTCAGTGACTTGAACTTATTCACCCACATGTCTGAGGCCTTCAGGTCAGCCACTTCTGCTTCAAAATCTCTGACGGAGACACCAGGGATGTAATTCAGGTCGGCTGTGTTCAGTGAACACTCGTTTGGATGGGTGATGAACTTAAAAAGACGAGTGTGCTCACGAAATTCTCCAAAGCGTGCTTTGAAGGACTGTAGGAGACTGGATGTGCAGCCAGCTAGCTGGTGGAGATCAAGGTTTTGAATGGGCTCACTTGCTGTGCATGCATCTTTAAATTGGCTCAGTTTTTCAAAATGTAGTAAACGACCTGTTTCAAGATCCGTGATGAAAAGCTCCAGCTTGTTTTCAAAAGCAAATACAGCTTGTTGAAGGGATAACACTGTATTTCCAATGCCTTGCATTTTCACGTTGAGCTGGTTCAGATGTTCAGTCAGATCTACGAGATAGTAAAACTTGAGGAGCCACTCGGTGTCGGCTAGCTCAGGATGCCCGACGCCTTTCATTTCAAGGAAAGTCCGGATTTCGTTCAGGCAAGCCGCAAAACGGCTAAGCACCTTCCCTCTTGACAACCAACGCACATTGCTGTGCAAAAGCAGACCAGGATAGTTATTTACAACTTCATCCAGCAGTGTTTTAAACTGGCGATCATTTAAGGCTCGGGCAACAATAAAGTTGATCACACGAATGACCAGCGACATCACTTCGCCAAACTGCCTGTCACACATCTGAGCACAAAGTGCCTCCTGGTGTATAATGCAATGGAAACTTAGGATGGGTCTATTTTCATGTTCACGGAGAAGCGCCACAAATCCTTTGTTTTTCCCCACCATACACGGAGCACCATCAGTACACACTGAGAGAAGTTTATCCATAGGTAGATTTTTTTCTTGAGCAAACTCCATGAAAGACTTGAATAAATCCTCACCTCTTGTGGACCCTTTTAATGGCAGAACAGCAAGACTTTCTTCACGCAGTGTGTCACCAACAGCATATCTTGCAATCACGCTGAACTGCGACAAATGGCTCACGTCTGTTGACTCATCCAAAGCCAGAGAAAAGAACGGCGCTGCATTTATGTCCTTCACTTGCGTTTCCTCCACTTTGTTTGCCATCACGATGGTACGATCATGAACAGTTCTTGCCGACAGAGGCATGTCTTGTATCCGTTTGATTATCTTGTCTTTGTTCGGAAGATCATCAAAAAGTTCATTGGCTACATCCAGCATGAACGTTTTAGCATACTCGCCATCTGTGAATGGTTTTCCGTTCCTCACTATTGCTAAAGAACCAGCAAAGCTAGCCGAATTATAGTCACCTTGCCGGGTCCATACGCGGAGTTGCTGCTGGCTAGCTTGCACCCTGCTCAGAAGCTCTTGGCACGCTTTCTTTCTGCTGTCTCCCGCAGGGTATTTTGATGCAAAGGTAGCGTGGCGCGTGTCGAAGTGCCGCTTTACATTCGACCGTTTCAACGATGTAATTTTGTCATTGCAAATTAGACACACCGCAGAACCCGCTCTCTCCACAAAGGCGAATTCTTCGGTCCATTCGTCCTGAAATGTACGATACTCGTCGTCTTTTTTTTCTTTTCGCCATCTTCTTCGTCGAAGGGTTAGCTTTGAGCTAATGACCGAGCAGACGCAGTCTCAGACTGATTCAAAAGGGGGCGTTTACCTGTTTTACCCAGCAACGGCAAACGTAGGCCAGTATCATCCAATTAAAATAATGGACAATTGCTCCTGCAGCCCTGAACAGGACATGCGCAGTGAAAAATCGATGGATGGATTAAAACAAGTGAGAATATTTTGTTTTATCTGCGAGCCATATGCAATCATCAAAAGAGCCACATCTGGCTCGCGAGCCATAGGTTCCCGACCCCTGTGTTAGAGCTTTCAACAGACAACGGGACAAGAAGTCAAAGCTCATCGAGACGCTGACCTTCCTCAAAAGATGCCGCGACAACAAGCTTAAAGGACTCGACCTGGGCTTTGCTGTCTTCACTCCAACGCTGTCCTCTGGACAGCCCGGTCCCTTCACCTGATGAAGGCCACTTGTGTTGTGGCCGAAACGTCGTGATTTTTTGTTATTTTATTTTTACCTACGTGACTTTACCGAATAGAACCAAAGAGCACTTGAAATTTGGAACATGATAAAATAAATAAAAACAGTTTCTTCGCGCTATTCCCTCCCTTCCGCCCTCGTCTCGGCAGCGCGTCGAGGCAGCGGTCGATTGCGCCGGGCCAGGCGTTCGAGCTGCCGGACGGCACCGACAGCTACAGGGACTACGCAGGTTCTCGCAACCACCGCTACGCCGACAGCGAGAAGGCGGCGAAGAACCGCAACCAGCGTCCCACCGCGGTGCTGCACTTCTTCAACGCGCCCACGGACATCACGGCCGAGATGTTCGCGCAGGTCCGTGCCCCCGCCGCCCCTTCAGCCTGCTGCCAGCAGCGCAGAAGGGGAGCGCGTTCGGTTTCTTTAAAAGTTTTCCCAGGTGAAGCTTTTATAAATATTCAAGTCCAAAGTTTGCACGTGAAACAATCGTGGGTTTTTAAGATGAGCCTATTGATGTTGTGGAGTTTGTGGTGGCCCATGACACGTTTCCTGTGACGGGACAAATGTAAAATGGTGTAATGTAGTTTCCTTTCAGCGGTTAAAACATAAGATGTATAAATAATGCAATCGATGTTCCAAAGGGACTTTTTTGTTACAGACTAGACAACACCTCGCGTTAATTTGTCCTGTTTAATACATTACGATTCATATTCATTTGTATTCGAAAGGTTTACATTTCAGTCTTTGGACATTGTTTCTGCAAATGGTTGCATTCCCCCTGAGTCTATGCTTGGTGTTCACAATAATCTGAGCACTTTGAAAGACTGCTCCAAAGCTGGCGAATGTAAATTTAAAAATGGACAACGGGATTTGTGCCTGCAATTAAAATGACATCTCCCGAATGCTTTACCGGTGCACGTTAACTGTTACCAACTATAACGTGAACGCCGCCCGTTCTGTCCCCGCAGCTGTGCGACGAAATGTCGATTGCGAGGCCCCGCTCTTTCAAAGTGTTTTCTGGAAAAAGTAAGTCCCGCAAAGTATGTTTATTATTTATCTTACGTGTCATGGCACAGAATAAATCGTGTACTGTATTCTCCATGCAATCGTCGCTTGATTTACAGCACGACACCAGATGATCTGCAACGTGTGCTATGAGGCCATGCTCAAGAAACCCTGTGAAAAATTCTCTCCCGAGAGCAGTCCTTGCTATTCACTCGTGCCCAAGCTGACTGAAGCGTGTTAGCGTAGCCAAGGCATCGGACTGAAGCCTTCCTGCTGCAGAAATTCACCGACGACTGACACCACCCTTTAAACACGGCTTCTTTAGGTAAAGTCACGTAGAAGGGAAACAACAAAATAATAAATATATACAAACACAGACAATTTCAACCGAGAAGATGGATTCTGGCTTAGCAATCATTGGAAGGATTTGATAAACCATTTCGGGTCTTAATTGATTGTTCACGCTTACGGTGGCTTTCAGACCGCATCCATTATTTTCGTCTCCCCCCTCCTCTTTTCAGAACATAGATGGACTCGTCCATCTGAACAACTGCCAAATCGCTCTCCGTGGTGCTAACGTTAAAAATAACCGCCACTTTTTTAAAATGTTCTTGCTGTGGTTTTCACACCTGATGATGATTGCTTGTGTTGCAGTCGAAACGTCGTGAGAATTTTATTGTTTTATATTTTTATTATTTTATTGTTTCCCTTCTAACGTGGTGGTGACTTTACCGAAAGAACCAAGGATATGAATCCCTGCAGTCACGAAAGCTTTAAATCAAAATGGCGAAGGGTGTTGCGTTTTACACGACCCAAATTACTCTATGAGCGACGGTCCGTCCACGTGTCCAGCCGATAGGAGCGTGTCCGGCCTGATGGAGTGGGAGACCAAGAACGATGCCATGGAGGCTCTGGCGTGCATTAACCATCACCCCCTGAAGAACGCAAGTAAGTTGTGGGGTGTTGGCCATTTGTGTTGGTGCGATGACATTGAAGCGGTGCTGCATTATCGGCAAATCTTTGGTCGTACGCTCTGTTGAGCACCTAATGTTCAGATTTGGGGGGGGCGCTTGTTATTACCATAGCACCATCTGTGTACACTGGCTGCCTAGCAGCCTTGGGTGAAATTGCAGGAAGCGAAAGCAGTTGTAGATTGTTGTATTATATATTAACAGGTTGTTATTTATGGGCGATTTGGATTTCGTTGTTGTTGTTTGCATATACAGAATGGAATTGAAAGTTGACATAGCCAAGCACTTTCACTTATCACAACTCAACGTTATCTTAGCTCCCTGAACGATTTTGTTAACATCAACAAAGACCCTCCTAAGAATCGCTTCATTGTTTTAAGTTTTTGTGTGCTCCAGTGAAGACGTCATGTGGCTCCCCTGTTTTTATTTTCTCAGATGTTCCATACCTCTACACCCTCAAACTGTGCTTCTCCACTGCCCAGCCTTCATAGAAGACAACTCAACATGTTTCATGCCATATTGAACGTCGGTGTCAACATCATTGTCACTTTGTGTAATATTTGTGAATGTCCCATCACTCTTGTTGAAAGTTAACCGTGGGTATAGGTCGAAAGTGCAATTTGACGCGTTTACATTTTAGTTGTCATTTTTTGGAGGATTAATTTAGATTTCTATATTGACTGCACCGAAAGATTTTAAAGGTCGCAGTGGAAATGAAGAATGTTGAAATTAAAATAATTATGATTAGTCTCCTTAACCTGCCGAGTTTGTCTGCCGTGTGCATTGCTATTTTGTCCATGAGCCCCAAACCAGATTTCACTTGGCAGTCCTCGGGTGCCGTAACTTTAGCGGCTCCAATTAATTTACAATTTGGGGGGGTTCTCAACTTGCTCATAGCCAAAGTTTTTGCTCCCACCACGAGTGATGCTCCTTTCTTGCTGTAGCCCATGGCACTAATATTGCCCATTTAATTTCATAACGGAGAGCTCTGAAATAAATGCCAAAGAGACCCTTTTGGGGGGGGGCTGGTAAAAATATACCCCGACTCATTGAAAATCCCATTGAAAAACATGGGTTGGCATTCTGTACAGTGCGTGTTTTTAGCAGGTTAATACGCTTGCAAATATAAACCCCAAGAGAAAATAGAACCGTGTTTGAAAATAAAAGCATGGAGAGATGCATGTTTGACATCGAACTGGAATCGATTGAACATGAGCGTGGAGACATGAAGGAAGTTGGGCATAGGGTAGGTGAGTGACTGAGTGAATGAGTGACTGAGTGTGTGGGTGGCTAGGTGAGTGACTGTGTGTGTGGCTAGGTGAGTGACTGAGTGTGTGGGTGGCTAGGTGAGTGACTGTGTGTGTGGCTAGGTGAGTGACTGAGTGTGTGGGTGGCTAGGTGAGTGACTGTGTGTGGCTAGGTGAGTGACTGAGTGAATGAGTGACTGTCTATGTGGGTGGCTAGGTGAGTGACTGCGTGAATGAGTGACTGTGTGGGTGGCTAGGTGAGTGTCTGGGTGGCTAGGTGAGTGACTGAATGACTAAGTGTCTGTATGGATGGCTAGGTGAGTGAATGAGTGACTGAGTGTGTGGGTGGCTAGGTGAGTGACTGAGTGTGTGGGTGGCTAGGTGAGTGACTGAGTGAATGAGTGACTGTGTGTGTGGCTAGGTGAGTGAGTGACTGAGTGTGTGGGTGGCTAGGTGAGTGACTGTGTGTGTGGCTAGGTGAGTGACTGAGTGTGTGGGTGGCTAGGTGAGTGACTGTGTGGCTAGGTGAGTGAATGAGTGACTGTCTATGTGGGTGGCTAGGTGAGTGACTGCGTGAATGAGTGACTGAGTGTGTGGGTGGCTAGGTGACTGAGTGTGTGGGTGGCTAGGTGAGTGAATGAGTGACTGTGTGGGTGGCTAGGTGAGTGACTGAGTGACTGAGTGTGTGGGTGGCTAGGTGAGTGAGTGAATGAGGGACTGTGTGGGTGGCTAGGTGAGTGAATGAGTGGCTAGATGAGTGACTGAATGACTTAAGTGTCTGTATGGTTGGCTAGGTGAGTTACTGAGTGAATGAGTGACTGAGTGTGTGGGTGGCTAGGTGACTGAGTGTGTGGGTGGCTAGGTGAGTGAATGAGTGACTGTGTGGGTGGCTAGGTGAGTGACTGAGTGACTGAGTGTGTGGGTGGCTAGGTGAGTGAGTGAATGAGTGACTGTGTGGGTGGCTAGGTGAGTGAATGAGTGACTGTGTGGGTGGCTAGGTGAGTGACTGTGGGTGGCTAGGTGAGTGACTGAATGAGTGACTAAGTGTCTGTGTGGGTGGCTAAGTGAGTGACTGAGTGAGTGTGTGGGTGGCTAGGTGAGTGAGTGTGTGGGTGGCTAGGTGAGTGACTGTGTGGGTGGCTAGGTGAGTCACTGAGTGAATAAGTGACTGTGTCTGTAGGTGGCTAGGTGAGTGAATGAGTGACTGTCTATGTGGGTGGCTAGGTGAGTGACTGCGTGAATGAGTGTGTGGGTGGCTAGGTGAGTGTCTGGGTGGCTAGATGAGTGACTGAATGACTAAGTGTCTGTATGGTTGGCTAGGTGAGTGACTGAGTGAAAGAGTGACTGTGTGGGTGGCTAGGTGAGTGACTGAGTGAGTGACTGAGTGTGTGGGTGGCTATGTGAGTGACTGAGTGAATGAGTGACTGTGTGAGTGTCTAGATGAGTGACTGAGTGAATGAGTGACTGAGTGTGTGGGTGGCTAGGTGAGTGACTGAGTGAATGAGTGACTGTGTGGGTGGCTAGGTGAGTGCGTGAATGAGTGACTGTGTGGGTGGCTAGGTGAGTGACTGTGGGTGGCTAGGTGAGTGACTGAATGAGTGACTAAGTGTCTGTGTGGGTGGCTAAGTGAGTGACTGAGTGAATGAGTGAGTGTGTGGGTGGCTAGGTGAGTGAGTGTGTGGGTGGCTAGGTGAGTGACTGTGTGGGTGGCTAGGTGAGTCACTGAGTGAATAAGTGACTGTGTCTGTAGGTGGCTAGGTGAGTGACTGAGTGAATGAGTGTCTTTGTGGGTGGCTAAGTGAGTGACTGAGTGAATGAGTGACTGAGTGTGTGGGTGGGTAGGTGAGTGAATGAGTGACTGTGGGTGGCTAGGTGAGTGAGTGACTGTGTGGGTGGCTAGGTGAGTGAATGAGTGACAGTGTCTGTGTGGGTGCGTAGGTGAGTGTGTGTCTGTGTGGGTGGCTAGGTGAGTGAGTGACTGAATGTGTGGGTGGCTAGGTGAGTGAGTGAATGAGTGACTTGAGTGTCTGTGTGGGTGGCTAGGTGAGTGACTGTGTCTGTGTGGGTGGCTAGGTGAGTGAGTGACTGAGTGTGTGGGTGGCTAGGTGAGTGAGTGACTGAGTGTGTGGGTGGCTAGGTGAGTGACTGTGTCTGTGTGGGTGGCTAGGTGAGTGAGTGACTGAGTGTGTGGGTGGCTAGGTGAGTGGGTGACTGAGTGTGTGGGTGGCTAGGTGAGTGACTGTGTGGGTGGCTAGGTGAGTGAGTGACTGTGTGCGTGGCTAGGTGACTGTGTGGGTGGCTAGGTGAGTGAGTGACTGTGTGGGTAGCTAGGTGAGTGAGTGAATGAGTGAGTGTGTGGGTGGCTAGGTGAGTGAGTGTGTGGCTAGGTGAGTGACTGTGTGTGTGGGTGGCTAGGTGAGTGAGTGACTGAGTGTGTGGGTGGCTAGGTGAGTGAGTGAATGAGTGACTGAGTGGGTGGGTGGCTAGGTGAGTGAGTGACTGTGGGTGGCTAGGTGAGTGAGTGACTGTGTGTGTGGCTAGGTGAGTGAGTGACTGAGTGTGTGGGTGGCTAGGTGAGTGACTGTGTGTGTGGCTAGGTGAGTGACTGAGTGTGTGGGTGGCTAGGTGAGTGACTGTGTGGCTAGGTGAGTGAATGAGTGACTGTCTATGTGGGTGGCTAGGTGAGTGACTGCGTGAATGAGTGACTGTGTGGGTGGCTAGGTGAGTGTCTGGGTGGCTAGATGAGTGACTGAATGACTAAGTGTCTGTATGGTTGGCTAGGTGAGTGACTGAGTGAATGAGTGACTGAGTGTGTGGGTGGCTAGGTGACTGAGTGTGTGGGTGGCTAGGTGAGTGAATGAGTGACTGTGTGGGTGCTAGGTGAGTGACTGAGTGAATGAGTGACTGAGTGTGTGGGTGGCTAGGTGAGTGACTGGTGAAATGAGTGACTGAGTGTGTGGGTGGCTAGGTGAGTGACTGAGTGAATGAGGACTGTGTGAGTGTCTAGATGAGTGACTGAGTGAATGAGTGACTGAGTGTGTGGGTGGCTAGGTGAGTGACTGAGTGAATGAGTGACTGTGTGGGGGCTAGGTGAGTGCGTGATGCGTGACTGTGTGGGTGGCTAGGTGAGTGACTGTGGGTGGCTAGGTGAGTGACTGAATGAGTGACTAAGTGTCTGTGTGGTGGCTAGTGAGTGACTGAGTGAATGATGAGTGTGTGGGTGGCTAGGTGAGTGAGTGTGTGGGTGGCTAGGTGAGTGACTGTGTGGGTGGCTAGGTGAGTCACTGAGTGAATAAGGTGGACTGTGTCCTGTAGGTGGCTAGGTGAGTGACTGAGTGATGAGTGTCTTGTGGGTGTGGCTTAAGTGAGTGACTGAGTGAAGGAGTGACAGTGTGTGGGTGGGTAGGTGAGTGTGTGAATGAGTGTGTGGGTGGCTAGATGAATGAGTGACTGAGTGTGTGGGTGGCTAGGTGAGTGACTGAGTGTGTGGGTGGCTAGGTGAGTGAATGAGTGACAGTGTCTGTGTGGGTGCGTAGGTGAGTGTGTGTCTGTGTGGGTGGCTAGGTGAGTGAGTGACTGAATGTGTGGGTGGCTAGGTGAGTGAGTGAATGAGTGACTTGAGTGTCTGTGTGGGTGGCTAGGTGAGTGACTGTGTCTGTGTGGGTGGCTAGGTGAGTGAGTGACTGAGTGTGTGGGTGGCTAGGTGAGTGAGTGACTGAGTGTGTGGGTGGCTAGGTGAGTGACTGTGTCTGTGTGGGTGGCTAGGTGAGTGAGTGACTGAGTGTGTGGGTGGCTAGGTGAGTGGGTGACTGAGTGTGTGGGTGGCTAGGTGAGTGACTGTGTGGGTGGCTAGGTGAGTGAGTGACTGTGTGCGTGGCTAGGTGACTGTGTGGGTGGCTAGGTGAGTGAGTGACTGTGTGGGTAGCTAGGTGAGTGAGTGAATGAGTGAGTGTGTGGGTGGCTAGGTGAGTGAGTGTGTGGCTAGGTGAGTGACTGTGTGTGTGTGTGGCTAGGTGAGTGAGTGACTGAGTGTGTGGGTGGCTAGGTGAGTGACTGTGTGTGTGGCTAGGTGAGTGACTGAGTGTGTGGGTGGCTAGGTGAGTGACTGTGTGGCTAGGTGAGTGAATGAGTGACTGTCTATGTGGGTGGCTAGGTGAGTGACTGCGTGAATGAGTGACTGTGTGGGTGGCTAGGTGAGTGTCTGGGTGGCTAGATGAGTGACTGAATGACTAAGTGTCTGTATGGTTGGCTAGGTGAGTGACTGAGTGAATGAGTGACTGAGTGTGTGGGTGGCTAGGTGACTGAGTGTGTGGGTGGCTAGGTGAGTGAATGAGTGACTGTGTGGGT